CAGGCCACTAGTTCAAGTCCAGAGACAGTCCCAAGATCAGCAAGAAACATGGTAGTCTGCTAAATGAAGACCTAGCTACATGCAGGGTCTACATGCCAAAAAGCTGCAGAGTCATCTCTCAAAACTTCTCCTTATGTACTGGGAGCAGACCACATCCCTAAGGCAGCTACTCAGCTGTTCATAGTAGATTCCACCATGCAGGTGATTACCAGTCTCATCATGGGGAGTACTCCATCCAGCTGCCCAAGCCGTTCAACCAGGCCCAGCCAAGTTGACACACAACCTTAACTCCCACAGAGGATGCTGCCATTCTGAGTGTTATTTACATTTTTAGAACTTCCTTTCTGAGTAGAATCTTTGTCTTACTGCTGATACTGAGTAAAGTGTCTGAGGACGTTGAGGAATTGTCACAAATGAGGAAAGTGTCGTGTGGACCCTGATCAATTCCTATCGTGGTGTTGGGAGGCAGTGAGGCTGCTGCCCTGGGTGGGCCCAGCTCAGCCACCAGGCACCTGTGAGCTTGGGTCATTGAGTTTTGATTCTCATAAGGCTGTCTTTGTAGAATCTGTAGGTGTTTGAGTAAAGACTGAGAAAAGGCTTTTAACAAAGGCTCAGCTTTTCATTGTCTACTGGATAACAATCGTGGCAAGTCCCCGAATTGCTGTCCATGCCCTGTGGTGACCGAGACCTATTCCTCCAGCACAGGGCGAGCAAGTCGATGGGCTGTGTGAGCAGGAATCCACACTGTCCAAATTACGATGTGCATAACTCAAGTCATAGCACTCAATGCTTCGTTTTTCAGAACCTACCCAGCCCGCCTTTTACTTTTGCAGACAGAGCAGTCTTTGCAGAATGGAGGGCTAGCTTGTCTCAGAGGAGGGTGTGAACTCAGAGGAGGGTGTGAACTGAGGCGCACACTTATAGAATGTGCCTTAGCCAGGGCCTGGGGTGTGATCGAATGATAAAGTAGGGTGCAGTGCCTTCCTACTTACTAAGTAATCAGCTACGTTACTTAAAGGTAGAGCTTGTGAACCTCATCTTTGTTTTCTGTTCTGTAAAATGAAGATTGCTATTCCCATCCTTTAGGAGCTCTGGTGGCGTAGTGCCTAAGGCACTTGACTGCTAACCAGAAGGCTGGCGGTTCAAACCCACCAGCCACTCCTTGGAAGGAAGGTTGGTCCATCTACTTCCACAGTTATACCACCTCGGAAACCCAAGGAGGGGTCGCTATGAGTTGGGCTGACTCCACGGCACATACAACAGCTCCCATCCTTTATTCAATGCTTGAGTCCAGTCTAAGCACTGCCTGCGCACCCTTAGCTGCCGATGAGAGGTAGCACTTTCCCCACCTCCCCAGCCACGGCGCCACACGTCCCTCAAGCTCCTGAGCTCTCAGGGTGGGACTGGCAGCAGTTACCCTTCTGCTGGATGTTGATGCTCGATGGACGAAAGACGGGCAGCCTGCTCCTGAGGTTTACCGCCTCGGAAACCCCGCGGGGTCGCTGTGAGTCAGAATCAACTCGATGGCAGTGAGTTTGGTTTGGTGAGTAGCTGTGAGTACAAATGTGTATTTAACTTGCAAAGTGTGTCCATTTCTCACGCCTCTTGAGTTTTCTGTCTTTTTTTAATGGTCACTGCTAGATGACCAGAACTGGAAAATGTTGCTTCCATCAACCCACGGCCATTAAGTCAATTCTGGCTCACAGCGCCCCTAGAGGACAGAGTGGAACTGCCCACAGGGTCCCCAAGGCTGTCAGTCTATACAGGCGCTGACTGCCACATTTTTCTCCTACAGTATGGCTGGTGAGTTCAAACCATGCTCAGCTCATTCACAGTCAGTGCTCACCCCCTGAGGCCTTTGCCACCATGTTGGCCCAGGTTCTACCACAGAGTAAAGCCACACAGTAAATGCTCAAAAATACTGGCTGTATGAACGGATAAAGCGAGCGAGTGAACAAGAGTTTTATGTCTGTCAGAGTCATGCATCCAGCACTGAGACGTGGCGTCTGGTGCTGTAGTGAAGGGCTTGGCTGCCAACGGAAAGGCTGGCAGTTCAGGGCCCCCGGCGGCTCTTTGTGGGATCAGCTCCCGTGAAGGGGACGGCTTTGGAGGCCCCGTGGGGCAGTTTTGCTCTGTCATGTGGAATTGCTGTGACTCAGAACCGCCCCCACGGTGTCTCCAGGACTCACCCACTTTATGCATAGGTGTGCGCTGGGTAAGCACTCAGCTGCTAATGAGAAGGTCGGCAGTTCGAATCCACCAGCCTCTCCGTGGGAGAAAGACGAAGAGGTCTGCTTCTGTCAAATTGACAGCCTTGGGGCCCTGCGGGCAGTTCTGCTCTGTCTCCAGGGCTTCTGCGAGTTGGAATTGATCGACTCAACAGGTTTACACTTTACTTTTACATTCAAAGGTTTCAAAGTCAACTTTATGGAGGTATACTTGACAGACAATGAAACATACCCATTTTAAATGTACAGTTTGATTTGATTTTATTATTTTTTTTAATTTCAGTTTATTGACTCACCTGAAGCTCTGTAAAGATTTTGAAGTTGATGATCATATAAAAGAATTTGCTGCAAAACTGTCTTTTATACCCAGCCCACCACCGGGACCGCTGCACTTGGTAACTCGACCTGGGAGCCTAGGAGGCTTGCCTTTTCTCTGCTGAGAGTAAGACTAGGGTTATACAAAGGGCTCATGGGTTTGAAACCGCTGAGTTCTAGCTGAGTTTAAGTTATGCTGCTCAAGGTCTTGAGGCATTTTTCACACTCTCTGAAGGCAAAAGTACAATATTTGGGCTTGAGTTTTGCAGAGTGGCTAAGGATAAACAGTATGGAGTTAGTAATATGGGACGGCCCTTTCTGCCGGAGGAAGCTCCAGTCTTCTTGGTAAGGATGGCCATGCTGCTAGATGCCGCCAAGTCCTTTCCTCCTCACAGCAACCCACGTATAGCAGATGGACACGGCCCGGTCCCGTGCCACCCTCCTGCCATCCCCATGCTTGGTCCCGTCTTTGCAGTCACTGTGTCAGCAATGTCCTTAAAGATGGTGGCCCGGGAGACCCTGGGGCCAGTTCTGCACCACCCTGTAGGGTCGCTGTGAGTCGGAACCAATTTCATGGCAGTGGGTTTTGGAATGGACATCTTTAGCCATTGGGACTTCAGTTCATTGCTTGCTGTGCAGAAAATACATAGTAACCCCAGTCATGCTGCCTGAGAATGAGTTTAAATCATAGACTTGCCCTTTGTCTGGTGTCGATACCTTTTAAATGCTGGGCATTCCCTTCGTGTTCAGTTGGAATCCGATTAGTATCTCATTTGCTGTACACAGCTCCTCCCATGCAGAGGGATTCGTTGAAGGTAAAACCACTTTCAAAGTTCTTGTTGTTCTGTGTAGACAGTACTGCGTGCTATTTAATTAATAGGTGTTTGTGGGTTCCACTGAGAACCCACACTGAGAGGTGTTACTGGCTATTTCATGACACAGGGACTTTGGGGACACGGTGGGCTGTGTTCCCTTTGGTTGAGTTGTGTGCCCAACTCAGCTAAGCTCTGGGAGGAGCCTCTTTGACACAGTGTTTTCCAACTCATTTAGCCGCTGGTCGTTAACTGCTTTTCAGACAGAATACCTGTTAAAGACTTGGGTCGTTTGGCAAATATTGACATCCTGTCTGGAAAATGATATGTATACATCTCGGTCCTCTATGTCTTGTTCATGGCTGACGGTCACTTAGCGCAGGAAAGCATCAGTTGTGAGCATCTTGTCCCGGCCTCTCTCACGTTCTCCGGCCCACACTGCCCCTCAGCAGAGCCTTCCCGTCAGCTGACCAGGCTGCTTCACCTTATCTCCTGCCTGCCTTGTTCTCACCTACATCATTGCATTCTGCTTAGTCAGTGAGTTGAGTGGCTGGCACACACATGGCGCAGACTTGGTCCTGAGAGCGCCGTGTGCTTACCCAGCTCGAAGGCTCCTCAGTGGCGGGGACTCTCTTCCTCGTCTAGGTCCCTTCCATTCTGTCCTGCAGCTTCCTGTGACCCCTGACGGGCGGTTGGTGGAGACAGAATCTGAACTTTCAAAATCACAACCATTTAGAAAAGGAAAGCGTTTTTCCAAATTTGTTTTGAAATGTGTGTCTTTGCGGAACTTTCCCTGATTGTGTGTAAGGTACTAAGAGAAGCCATGTCATACAGGGTCTGAGAACAGTGTGCTAGCTGAGAAGAGTTTGACGAAGATGAGAAGGCCAGGAAGGGTGGGAGTTAGGTCACTGGAGGAAGAACTAACAATCGGGTCACGAGAATGAGGACACGCTGTGGACGTGTGACCGGCGTTTGAGAGTTGTTCCCTGGGGACCTAATTTGCTGTGTAAACTTTCACCTAAAACACAATCAAATGTCCAGGAACATGATCATAACCTGCTTGATGTGGAATCGTGCCAGTTTGGACAAGTCCCTGGGTTGGAGTTTATCTTTCTGTCTGCTTGTTAGTTACGGAGTTTAGAGGAGGCGGGCATCCTTGGAGAAGGATGGTGACGCTTATGTGCGTGTGAGTGGGTCTCTGCGGCATGAGCAAAGCGCAGGTCGAGAGTTCGCCATTCTGTGGGTTCACAGCGAGGGCGTGCATCTTCAGGGTTTCTACCCCAGATACTTTCTGCCCCCAACAGTGCATTTCAGCACCCCCCAGGGGTGGCTCCCTGAACTCATCATGGATGTTACCATCACAGGTGTTTCACATGAAGCCACTGCACATCGTGTTCCCTTCACGAGTGGATCCTGAGAGCCCAGTCATCGACTTGGACCTTCACCTGCCCTTACTGTGCTTCACACCTGAAAAGGTGTTACAGGTACGGACGCTTCCACACCTGAGCGTCATGTGCTCATTGCCTCAGTCCCAGTCCCAGTCCCCACCCATCGAGTCTGACTGCGGCAGCCCCTCAGGTCCTAGGTCAGAACTGAGTGCCACCAGGTTTCCGTAAGTCGTTTTTCATAAAGAGATCACCAGGCCTTTCTTCTGAGGCAGCTCTGAGTAGCCTTGAACCTGCAGTGTTTGGTTAGCAGCTGAAATGCATTAACTGTTCCGTAACCCAAGGGGCCCAGTTGGTTTAAACTAAACCCAACCCCCGACGGTTAAGTCAACTCCGACTCATAGCCACCCCAGGGCAGAGTCGAGCTGCGGTGGGGCTTCCAAGGCTGTAATCCTATGGAAGCTGACTGCCACGTCTCTCTCCCACGGAGCAGCTGACCTTCTGTTTGGCAGCTGAGTGTTTTAACCACTGTGCCACCAGGGCTTGCTGCAGTAATTTTTTTTTATTGTGATTTGGATGGAAGTTTATAGAGCAAACTCATTTTCCATCCAGCAGTTCATATGCATTTTGTTTCATGACATTGACTGCAATTGCCCACAATGTAACAGCTCTCTTCCCACTTGCTCCCTGTGGAGATATTTTTGCATTAGACACAGGTTTATTCCACACACACAGAACCAGTGCACTAAGATTTGCTTTCTACGTAAAGCCAGCGCTCAGTACACAGTTTTTACAAGTAGCACTTTCTGTGAGATCTTAAGTGGCTTTTGTTTTCACAGGTGAGACAGGGACAAAGGGGGACACTTGCATGTGAATCTGTGTCTGGTCCTGCCCAGTGGCATGTTTATGGGTAAAGCCTGCGTGTGTGTCTGTGTCTGAGGTAGCCAGGTGACGTGTTTACAGATGAAGCCCGTGTGTGTGTGTGTGTGTGTGCGTCTGGTCCTACCAGGTGATGTGTGTGCAGGTGAAGCCCGTGTGCATGTCTGTGTCTGGCTCTGCTGGGGATGTGTTTGCAGCTGCAGCCCGCGTGCGTGTGTGTCTGGTCTTGCCGTGTGCGTGTCTGTGACTGGCCCTGCTGGGGGCGTGTTTGCAGGTGAAGCCCATGTGTGTGTCTGTGACTGGCCCTGCTGGGTGGTGTGTTTGCAGCTGCAGCCTGCGTGCGTGTGTGTGTCTGGTCTTGCCGTGCGTGTGTCTGTGTCTGGTCCTGCTGGGGGCGTGTGTGCAGGTGAAGCCCGTGCATGTGTCTGTGTCTGGCCCTGCTGGGTGGTGTGTTTGCAGCTGCGTCCCGCGTCCCTGTGTGTGTCTGGTCTTGCCGTGCGTGTGTCTGTGACTGGCCCTGCTGGGGGCGTGTGTGCAGGTGAAGCCCGTGCATGTGTCTGTGTCTGGCCCTGCTGGGTGGTGTGTTTGCAGCTGCGGCCCGTGTCCCTGTGTGTGTCTGGTCTTGCTGTGCGTGTGTCTGTGTCTGGCCCTGCTGGGTGGTGTGTGTGCAGGTGAAGCCCATGTGCATGTCTGTGTCTGGCGCTGCTGGGTGGTGTGTTTGCAGCTGCAGCCCGCGTGCATGTATGTCTAGTCTTGCCGTGTGCGTGTCTGTGTCTGGTCCTGCTGGGGGCGTGTTTGCAGGTGAAGCCCGTGTGCGTGTGTCTGTGACTGGCCCTGCTGGGGGC